TATATTGACTAGATTGCCCTTTGACCTCAATTCAGGAAATCTAGGTTCTGATGATTTGAGATTTATTCTCAACATTTTGAATGTTATATATTATTCTCAAGAAAGAATGTAACACCAGGCAAGTTTCATTCCAAGGAGCAAACACCAAGTGAATACAGAATATGGCAAAAGTACACATGAATAATTTACTTAGTTAAAAATAGGCAAAGAATTGATTTACACTCACCAAAGCACAGATATCGAAAAGTAGCTAAGGCTTAAGAGTCTATGGAGGAGAATATTAAGATGGTGTGATTGTCAGCGTATGAGTCAATTGCTGTTTAAATTCTGTTCCTGTTTTCTTTGTGCTCACACTTAATATTTTTTAAATGTATGCAAATTGTTCAACATCATTAGTCATTAGGGAAATGCAAATCAAAACCACAGTGAGGTACCACTTCATACCCACTAGGATGGCTATAGCTGTAATAATAATTCTTTTAAAATCCAGAAAATAATAAGTGTTTTTTTCTGCCAAGGGATGTGGACAAATTGGACACCAAGTACATTGCTGGTGGGAATCTAAAATGGTTCAGCTGCTGTGGAAACAGTTTGGCAGTTCCCTAATAAGTTAAGCTTAGTGTTACCATATGACCCAATGATCATACATGCCTACCCAAGAGATTTGAAAAGAGATGTGCAACCCAATACATGTATACACACATTCAGAACAGCATTATCTGCAGTAGCCAGAAGGTGGATGTGAGTCAAATGTCCATCTGTGGATACGTGGATAAACAAATTGTGGTATATAGATCTAATGGAATATTACTCAGCTTTAAAAAGAATGAAGTACTGGTTCAGTGTGAATGAACCTTGCAAACATGCTAAGAGAAAGAATCTAGAAGCAAAAAAGTCACATATGTATGATTTAATTTATAGGAAATATCCAGGATAGATAAATTCCTAGAGACAGAATGCGGATTGGTGGTTATCATGAACTGGTGGGGAGGAGTCAGAGAATAGGGAGTTAATACTTCATAGGTACAAAATTTCCCTTTGGGTTGACGAAATGTTTTGGACTAGATAGAGATGGTAGTTGCACAACATTCTCAATGTACTAAATGCCACAGAATCATTCACTTTCAAAAGGTTAATTTTATGTGAATTTCACCTCAATGAAAAAAAAGTTAAAAAAATTGGGATATTTACCAGGAGAGCAAAACTGAAAAAAGACATCCAGTACCAAGGCTTGAGAGGGATATGGAGCAACAGGAACTCTCGTAAACTGGCCGTCCATGTGTAAGTTGGTGAAAATTACTTGAGAAAACCGGCAATATCTGTTAGGGCTGAACCACATCCATACATACCCTATGACCCAGCAATCTTCTCTTCAATATATACCCCAAAGAAATGCAGACATATGTTCATTAAAATACATGCTCACTGTTCATAGGAGTACTCTTTTGTAATAGCCCAAATCTGGAAAACTGGCCAAATGCCCGTGAGTGGTAGAATAGATGAATGTAGTACTACACAGTAATGAGAATGAACAGTCTAAAACTGCATGCGACAATATGCATGAATCTCATGAACACGGTATTGAGTGAAAGAAGCCAGACACAAAAGGGTACATGCTGTATGAGTCCATTCATATAAAGTACAAGACAGTTTTGGCTGTCTACGTTGATAGAAGTCTGATTAGTGGTTGCTGTTGAGGAGGTAGTGTCTTGAAGGAAGCAGTGAGGATATTCTAGTCCGTGGTCTGTTACTAGTTGCATTGACATACTCAGTTTATCAAGTTTACGACCTATACATTTATGATATGTAACCTTTTCTGTTTATATTGTTCTTCAGTAAAAACATTTAAAAATAGGCAAATTCAGTGCATTTTAGGAAGGTTTCAGGCCATTTGGATACTTCAGAATTCTTATTTTAACCAGTGGTATTGATTGTGAAGTTAATCATGTGTGTTCACGCGTGCGCGTGTGCGTATGTGTGAATGTGTGCATGTGTGTTAAATGTAAATATTTAAGTTGGTTCACTATAATTTGTGAAAATTGACTCACCTTAATCTGAAAAAAGTACAAGAGAATGATAGATATGCCTTATGACCTGCCTATTGGTAGGTGTATCATAGGCTCTCTTTCCATTTTATTTATTTGATAGTCTCCAAGCAGATGTATAGAATTAATAGAAGACCTGTCTTAAAGAGCTGGGAGAGAAAAAAAAAAAAGCATATCTTATATTCATTCAGAAAGTTGTATTTAAATAGAGTCAGTACATGTATTTTTATAAAATCACCGGTGTTTGCCTATCAAAGGAAATAATATATATTTATGCATACACAGACATATATTACATATGTATGAAATGTAAAGGATATAGGGAATAAATGCAACCATAAACAGAAGAATGATTTTTAGAAAATAGACTAATAAAAGGCATTTTGTTACAATGGCAGATTTTGTTCACTTTTTCCCCATTTCATATAGAATTTTTCATATGTAAATTTTAGATTAATTTATTTGTATTCAACGATTCAACACTTGGTAAAAAAGAGTAACATGAAATTTTACAATGTTTAGAAACTTGTGTGATCTTAAATAAATTGAAAATCTACAGATTAAATTCAACTGCCATTAATTAATAAATTAAGATATTTTAGTACTGCTATTATTGGTCCTAATACTCCGCTATCTTTATATCAGGATTTGCAGTCGTAAATCTTTTACATATATATAAAACTTTAATTTTATTTCATCTAACAATTATTTGCTAATTGGGATAAAATAAAACATTGCCTTTCTTTGGATAATTAGCACAGCCCAGGGCCCTTTCCTTTAAAGAATAAATGTTAAAATTAAACAAATGAAACAATTAGATGCTAAACCTGACTCTCACAAACTGATGCTGAACTAGACATTAACAGGAAAAAAAGCTCAGTTTCAGAGATAGTAATGAACACCAGTGGACAGTGAAGTCACTCCCTAGATCAGTTTTAACAGCTTTCCTATATAAAAACAGTGCTTCTTTTTAATACACTGGAGTACCTGGCAGAGAGTGTGTGTGTGTATGCTTCATGGCATAACTTCAGAAAAATACACATGCACACAGAGAAATAGTACTGTGATTTGACTAATAAATTGTAGTATTTGTTTATTTTTTAATGGAATTTAAAGTCAGGAGTAACTTTAGAGGCCATTTAGTTCAGTCCCCTTATTTTACACATAACCTTTGTTACCGTGGTGTTTTTACTATTGAAGTTAAATATAAACATGTTCAAACCTGTGCAAAACAGACTGTAAGAAATATAACCGTGCGGTCTTTACAATCGCCTATTCATCAGCAAGGCATATTCACTCACGGGAATGAATTATCTACTCATCAGCAAGCGATAACCATATTGACACAGATTTTAAATATAAAGTAATACATAGACTTATAAATAACAGCTCCTACATAATAACCAACAGCTCATAATATGCCTGAACATTTCAGGGCCCACCTCACTCAAGAACAACATATTCATTGCTGGGGGAAAGTGTTCAATTTATTGAATGATGCATTTATAATTTAGGGCTATAGATTTTTGAAGCTAGTAATTACATTAGAACCACGAGTCTGGGCTATGTGTTTTGATAACATTTGCAAAACTATGTGCTTACGAGTATTCTAGAATGATTTCTTTTTTTTGACTCACATTCATTTTCCAGCATGCATTTTTTTTTCTGACATAAAAATGGTATAACAAAGAAACAGGTTTTGCAGGTATATGAGTGAGAGAGCTCATTTCATCATTAGGATAATAAGTTTTACAACTATCTTTAGCATTATATATATCTTATATATATATAATTCACATTGAAGTTGTTGCTTACAAAAATCATATGTACTCAATGAAAAACATTTGGAAATATTGAAAAAGTAGAAATAACAACTACAGAACTTACCAGCCAGAAAACATTAACATACCATTTTGGTGATTCCCCCCCCCTCACTAGATACCCCTCCCCTGCCCTTCTAAACACACATAAATATACCTGCATGTTCTTACTATGCATTCTAGCTCCACCACTCTCATCCTCTGTGACCTTTGGCAAGTGACTTCACTTCTCTGTGCCTTTGTTTCTTCATCTTTAAAATATGGACCGTGATAATAACCATGATGTAGAATTATAACAACTAAGGGAGGTAATAAGTTCAAGTTTTGTAAGAGTGCCTGGTGTAATATATATTGACCATTAAGCATATTGAGCATATGTTTTAAGCATGTTTTAAAATTACCAAAACTCTCTCATCTTTATTTGCAAGCCGCCCTAGCCATTGGTAGCACCGGCTATTATTTTCAGTAAGCCAGAATATCATCTGTGCTCCCCCCTATGATAATGGGGGCAAGTGCAACATCTGCAAATATGTTCCACGCAAAATGGATCTTCACACAGACTTAGTTTGTCATTTTAGTTTGATTTTTGAGAAATGAGTTGGGCACATCTGCCAAATCCTTTTATAAGATGCTACGTTCCTGTTTTTATTTTAGTTTATTTCATTTATGGAAAGCTCCTTTCTTCTCCACCCCTCCCCCCAGGCACCCCCTCCTGTCCCCCATTCCTCTGTGTCCCAAACTGTAATGTTGGTGTACATTGAAGCTTTAAAATAGAGAACTGATGAAAAATTGGAAAGAATCTGTCCCGTTTTTAAAGCCGTCCTCCTTTTGGTATGTTTAGATTATGAAAAAGAGAAACCAAACAAACCTGTCTTTTACACTCTGAAAATATATCGTCTGGTAATGATAATTTACTTTTTTTTTTTTTTTTTTGCCAAATTGGAAATAACAGACTTATTTTTTCAGGGTGGGAAGGAGAAGACTGGTTTGGGGAGGGGAAAGATGAAGTACAGCAGACAAAGAATCAGTTTGCAAACATATGTTAATATTTAGATTTTTTTTAAGTGAAAAGTTAAGTAGTTAATGCTTTTTTACAAACTGTCTTTGATACCGTGTTTTGTTTATTCCATCCCAGAAGAAGTTAGCGGTATACAGCAAGATGCAGGACTCTCTGGAAGTCACCCTTCCCAGCAAACAAGAGGAGGAGGAGGATGAGGAGGAGGAGGAGGAGGAGGAGGAGAAAGACCAGCCTGCCGAGATGGAGTACCTTAACTCTCGCTGTGTCCTTTTCACTTATTTCCAGGGAGACATTGGGTCAGTAGTGGATGAACACTTCTCAAGAGCTTTGGGCCAAGCCAGCACCCTCCATCCAGAATCTGCCATTTCAAAAAGCAAGATGGGGCTAACCCCCCTATGGCGAGGTAAGAATTCAAAAGCAGATGCTCTCCAGGGCACTGTCTGTGTTTCGCAACTGCCTGTACCAGGTTCCAGCTGGAGACTTGCCCCTGGAGGACGGATATCCACTTGCTTTTTAATTTTTAAGGACAGCAAGGAATTTCTTTCAGACAAACAGCTGGATCAGTTTTGTCACATGTGGAATGCAGGGTTGGAAAGGATGCAGTCACACCCCTTAAATTCCTCATGGAAAGTAGTGATGCAACCGGCCTGAGTTTATAGTGGCAGGACCGAGCTGTGAAGCGCCATTCCTTAAAGCCCCAGTGGCCCAATTTGGATCTCTAAATAATAGGTGTGCCTGGATCAGCTTTTAAAAATTAGCTCTTGCTCATTCCACTAGGTGCTACGTGGTGACATAGCAGAAATCTGAGTCTGACCCGGGAGTACAAACTTTGAAAGCCTTCTGTGTTCTCTTGATAGTTTTCTCTGTCCTGCTTTGTTGTGGTATGAACTCTTTGAGTTGACAATCCAGACATTATTGACTGTGTCTACATAGTTTAGACTATTGTTTTTACCTTGTAAAAGTAAAGCAGTCGATTGGCCATCCACTTCTGTATTTCCTGCTCTATAGAGGTCAGAGGTGTGTTTGAGTCTGATTCCTGGCTCACAGGAAATCGCTGGGTGACATCTTAAATGGGCAAATTACAGGGTTAGGGGAAAATGCATATATCATTTCAACGATAGTTTTAGAGAATTGTGTTATGGGTGTTTCTTTTGAACTCACCTGGTTATAAGAAGCCTCTAGTAAAATCATTCTCAAAGTGTGGTTTCCAGTACCAGGAACATGGGCATCACATGGGAGCCTGTTAGAAATGCAAAGTCGTGGGCTGCGCCCCAGAACTACTGAATCAGAAACTCAAGGGTAGAGCAAATTGTCTTTTAACCAGCCCTCAGATACAGGCTCAAGGTTTACAGTCATTAATCTAGTGCTGTTAAAAGCAAAGATTGCAGGCCCCTAACTTGGACCCAGTAAATCAGAGTCTCCAAAGGGAAGCTCTGGGAATCACATCTTAACAAGTGCCCCAGGCGATCCTATGATGAGGAAAGGCAGGCTCCCTGTGGTAGGTAACCTATGGTAGAGGGCAGGTAAGAGGTGATACATAGTCATTCCCTCTCAGTACCAGAGGAATGCTTCTGCTCTGTTGTGGGAGAGATCATGGCTATATGAAATTGCTGGGCCTGACCTGATTGCCAGCCTGCCTTCCTGCCTTCCTTCTTTCTTCTTTTTAGTACATATGAACAGCACTAAGATAGCAGTGACTCTAAAGAGGAAGGTGGAATACAAACCCAAATGATGGAGACCTTGACAGAAATAATTGGGAAGCATGATTGCTTATTTGATTAGTAAACGTTACGGACTTCCCACAAAACTGAGAACTTAGTCCTTGGAAGCCTAAGATGATTGTGGAATCAACCAATATTCTATTTGATAGCATGTGGTAAATACTTTTAATATGTGTTTAAGGAGAAAAATAGGAAAACTTCAGTATATTAGCTGGCTTTAATAAAGTAGTCTGATATATCAATAATAAATCATATCAAGATAATCTGTCCTAGGAGAATATTAAATATAATGCCTACTTTTTTTTGGCATAGTGGCATATACAACCTAGTAATCATTTAATCTGGAATATAGAAATAAGAGCCCAAAATTATAGTTAAATGTGAGTGACTATCTATAGCATTATAACCAGGATAGTTGCAAGTGAGGTATTGTGTATATGCAAAAACTCTACAATCCAGTGTTTTTCCCATTATCTGTGCAACTGAATAGAGCTCTTTGGACTGATGTCCAGTGTCCAAGTAGAAAAGACAGATAATGGTAATGTTTCAGTAACTGTTATTACAATTTTCTTGGGATTATCTGAAATTTGGCCTTCAAGTCTACCTCCTGTTTCATTCATTGACATAAGCAGCAAATATTAAGGTCCCACTGTGTTCTAGGTAGTGGGACTATATCCGTGAACTTGAGAGTCTAAGCCTCTACATTCATGAAACTTTTTAGTGGAAGAGACAGGTAATAAGTAAATAATGAAATGCTAGGTGTTGTTTTACTTTGGGTGATGATAGATGCTGTTACATGTGGCCACGGACCTGAAGGAAATAAGAGTGTTCCTCATCATATGAACATCAAGGGGGAAGTTATTTGAGGCAGCGGGGACACCAAGTACAAAGGTCCTGTGGAAGGACTGAGCTTAGAGTGTTCAGTGAGAAGCAAGAGTACTGCCATGAGCGGAATGAAAAGCAGAGTGCTAGGTAGAGACTAGGATTTTTAGGACTTTGTCAGTTTAGTGTCTCAGGGTAGTGCAGGCAAATGCAGCAGGCTCTTTAATTTTCATCTCTCCCTGTCTAAGACTACATATATCGTATCTAGTTTTCTCACATCATTTTCCCGAGTACTCAACATAATGCGTTTCTGCCTAGAAAATCAAGAATAAATATGAATTGAATGATGTGACTGAATTAGGTGAATCAAGTTCATACCATTCATTTATCCCAGATGAGAAAACAAAAAAGTTCTCAATATAGAATTTATGAGCATTAACTGTGAAATCTTTGGTTATAGTTTCCTTATTTATAAAATAAGGGGGTTGAATTAAGTGACTGTTAAGATCTTTTCTCAGTAGAGTTCTGTGATTTCAAGTGTATTATTTACTTTCCATTTGTGATAGAACTTTGCCATAGTTGTTTCTAGTTGCAAATTAGTCGATTTTTGATAAACACACATAACCTTGGATGTGGTTGAAAGGAGATCTACCAAAATGTAATTAAAATTTTGGAAAATAATATCCTTAAGAGAGGTATAATAAATTGAGATTCCCATGTCTGGTGAAGAGAGTTACTGGTAATTTTGTATAATTGCCAAAGTAACGCAGATTTGGATAATGCAGTCATTGGATTCTGTTCATTTTGGGGTTCCAGTATGGGCCTTACTATGTCTGACTACAACATGATCTTGGATTAAATACTTAAATCTTTCTGAACTCAACTTCGACTGTAATATGTGTTTATTGATATACACTTCCCGGGGTTATTGTAAAGATTCTGTGATAATGTGTATGAATGATTTGTGGCTCAGGGCTTTATGCAAGGTGCTAAATGATCAGACACGTGCCTTCTCTCTCTTCCTTAAATAAGTTTCCACTCATTTGGCACATAGAGAACCAACCTCGGGTTTTTATCCAGAAACTTTGTTTTCTGGACGTTTGTTTATCTGGCAAAACCAGGGTGTCTTGGACAAAGTAGCTACTCAATGCTATGGACAACGGTGGTGGTCATGGCAGTGATACTTTATGCAGGAGCTGCTAACCAGCTGTATTAAATAAAGGGTCTAATTTATGGCATGAAGTTTTTACAGGCTACACAAGTGCCACAGTGTTACAAAGGAATTTAAAACTGAGTTATGTTTGATTGCAGAATATATTTCCCCCGTAAATCTTTGGACAAAGATAGAGTGTCAGCTAATAATGGAATAATGGTCATACTTTAAGTGTGTGTCTTGGCGGAGTTAGGAAAGTCCTCTTTAGGTGTTTGGCAGCTTTTAGGCAAACAGTTGGTAGGAAATATTTGTACTTTATTTGGCACAATATCACATCAATTACCTCTTGTCCCAGTATATATTCTTACAGGGATTGAATAGGGCTTCTCAGTTGAGAAAACATAATGAATCTGATTGCCCTCTTACAGAAACATTGGCTTCAAATAGGTCTATGCATTGATCTCAGTGCCCAAGTGTTATTACAAAAAGTGTGTGTGTATGTGTGTGTGTGTGCGCGCACGCGTGTGTAGGAAAATGGAGCAGTTGAGCTTTAACAAAATAAAAATATCACTAACTGAAAAACCTTGCTGAATGGTGAACTTGATATTTTGTTGTTGTTACAAAATAAATAATGATTGCTTGATTTATTTATATAGTGTCTGCTTAGAGTAATTCATTCTCAATTGCAAAGACCTCTCAAAATGAGCACTAACCTGAAACAATAAAAGAGGAGAAAGGGCGGGAGGGCCCGTCTCTTGAGCTGGGTGAGACTGGGAAGGACAGCTCTGCTGTATCCCTAGGAGGCACTGGAGGTCCTCGCTGCCGCTCCTGGCAAGTTCAGGACAAACACACGGAAGGAAACTGAGGCCTGACTTCCGTCATCATCCTGCCTCCTTGAAACTCCCATTTTAGTCACAGTGTCCATTGTGAGCAACTCTAGAACGAAGTAACTAGAGGACAAACTCTGGATAGGATGGTAATGCCTAATTCCTGAGTGCCAGAAAACTGGAAACGTAGCCTTTCACCTCTGACCCAACAAGTCGTTTTCATGGGAAACAGAATAAGAGGATGGGAATTAAATTACAGTAAAGACCCTTTGGGTTAAGAGTTGAGTCGCATTTTTTTTTTTTTCACTTAAGTTAATAAAAAGGCAAATGTTATCTTTTAATGTTGATGTTTTGTATCATTATTCTAAGAATATGTTTCCTGGAGATTTTAAAGATGACTTAAGATAGAGGTTTTACAACATTCTATTGTACCATTTTCCTTTTAATATAGCTTTTATTTTTTTTCAAAATTAATTAGTAAAATGTTTAATTTTTGAAATTAAATGTTAAATTTTCTCTGGCTTGAATTGTTTACCCTTAGAGGTTTTCTTTTCTTTTTTTTCTTTTTCCAGAAATATTTAGAGCTAATACAAAAAGTATCCCATCTATTATGAAATTGAAAGACTAACTTGATGTTCCATGTTAAACTCTTCTGTGCCTTTAAAGTATATTTCTGTATAATTCACACAGTGAGATTACTGAGTATGCCTTGGGTGGATTGTATTAGGCAACATAACAATTTTGTCATTTTTGTTTTTTAGAAATAAGGATGTGTGTGTGTGTGTGTAATATTTTTTAATTCCCAAATGTAAATTGAACCAAAGTGTATTTAGACTTTTTGTATGTGTCGTAGGGTCAGTGTTGACTGACATCATCTGAATATTGAGTATCACTGAGTCCAAAGTCACCATAGAGTATTAACATCTGACAGTTCTGAATTGCCTCCACTAACCAGAAAAGTAATATTGCATGGAAATAGCTTGTGCACAAGTTTTTCATATGCTTTTTCATCAAACAAATGTGGCTGTGATTAAGTACTCGTAAGCAAAGAGTCATGTAATGAAAAAAATTTACATACATATGAAATAAGCACACTGATTCCCAGGCATGAAACAAAGTATATCATCTGTTTCTTTGTATTAAGATTTTTTTTTTAACAACCAAGATACCAAATAGTGGTTTTAAAGTGTAGACGGTCCATAAACATATTTTCTCTTCAACATTGTTTCATTTACTTGTAAAATGCAACATTGTCTTTGAAAAGGGCTGCATAGATCTCTGCAGACTTTATATTAATCTCAGGAGACATAGGGACTGGGAAAATATTAAGTTGCTTCTAATTTTATTTTTCCCTGGGGCATTTTAAAGCTTTGTTCGGCCTTTATGGAGCACGTTTTTAAAAATAGATTTCCACTTTCATTGACAGTGTGTTCACTAATTACAATACAATAATTCATAAATAGGGTAATATTTTGGGTAAGGAATTTGTTCATTATTCACATTTGTGCATGCATATCCAAATGCCTAAGCATCTATAAAATAAAATTGGGTCCAAGTATGTATAAATGAAAGGAAGTAAAAAGAAAGCATCCAGGAAAATGGTATAGACTGTAGTTTTGACATTTTAATGGGGGATTTTATTAAGGGGAGCTTGGTATCTCTGGCTCGCACCTGTGGGTTGGGCTTAGCAGTTTTTATAACAGGATTCTGGCCGCATCAGGAGATGAAAGTTACGAGCAGAATGAAGGGTTTGGTACCAAAGATTGAATCTGTGGCAGCAAAGTGGCAGATTCAGGGTGGCAAAGCTGCACTGTGTGAGGAGCCCCTGTAAACTTTTTGCATGGGTTTTAACACTGACAGCTATCATTGCAGGTGTGACAGAATATTCTACAAATGGCCACATTTAAGGCAAATTGAATTTTCTTCTCACGGCTTACACAACTTTCTCTACAGGTCATTAGCAGCCACTTTTCATATGTCAAGGGAGACAGTTCTGAAATAAAACAGACTGGCCCCAATGCCAGTAAGTTTGACTTCAAGTGTTATTTTCTGATAGATGTGATGGTGACAAAGCAAAGTCATTCAATTAACAGTTTGCCCGGACTGTTTGAAGACTTGAAGAACAATGTGCGCTTCCATCCTTTGCCTCTTGGAGAATATCATTATTTTTTTTTTTTTATTTCCCCAAGGGGTTTGAGAACCTTGGATATTCTGTGGGGGACAGACTTGAACGTGAGACACCAAATGGCTGTCTGTCCGCAGAATGATTGGGGTGAATGATGGTAGCCTTGGTGTAGGGCTGACAGGGAGGAGGGGGAGGGTCTGCAGTGCTGGTGCAACAGTCGTCTGGGAAGCTGGAGAAAGGAAACATTTGAACACCATGGTGATATCCTAATTACGTTAGTCAAATTACATATATGGTGGCTGGTTCAAGTTACAGAAGCTTTCCTCTGTGGTAAGAAAACTATGTCCTGGAAATTTATGAAGTGAGAACATGGAGCTGTCAGACTTCTCAATACTTTTATTTCAGAGTGCTTCTTGGGATATTCTTCACTCAATGAAAAGATCTAGCTAGGTTCTTTTGTGTGGAGCCCTGTATGAAAATAGTATCTTATTATCCACGCATGACTCATGGGCTAAGCAACCTTATCTTCATCTATAGATAGACATCATAGGCCACTTCACAGAATGATAGAAATATAGAGTCAGAAAATATTTGGAATTTTAATTCAGATACCTCATATGGAAGAAACTGAGCCATAGAGAGATCAACAGATCCATTTGAGGTCATGAAATCAGATAAGGTAATTGGTAGGTGCTAGCTCTCTAGTTGAGATCTCTAGACTCCCAGTCCTGAGCTTGCTCTTTTATATCCCACAGAACACAGCAGGCCATAGCTGCAGTTGTGGATCTTTCCAGTCACAGGTCTGACTATATCATTCCCTAGATGAGAACTCTTCAAAGCTCACTGGCACCTCCTCAGGACAGTGCCCACATTCATTACATGCTTGGCAAGACCCATCTCGGTCTTCCTTGGACCCAGTCTGAGTTTTTAGTCTAATTTTTTGCCACCTTCTGCCCACACAATTCTTTTTTGTTCCTCATATGCTACTTTGTGTGTGTGTGTGTATAATTTTTGGCCTTTTTCACATACTTTTTTTATTTGCCTAAACCACTCTTCCCAACCTCTTCACAAGGCTAGCCCTACCCACTCTTGTAATTTATTTTTTCTTAGGCTGCTTCTGTGCCCTCTCTCTGTGCTTCCCCTTATGGGAGCCCCTACCAGGTCACGTTGCACATGTTTACTTATTTATCTGTCCCCTGCTGGATTGTGATCCATTTGGTCATCCCTGACCTCCCTATGCTTGGCACATAGTAGATCATCTATAAATATGTTATGATGATTGAGTGGAGAAATTTAACTGAAGACAAGAGTTGGGGGGTGGTTTCCCTCTTTATTTATCTCTAGGTGTTATTTTTTTTATATTACCCTTCCGCCTAACCCCTCCTCACACCTATTACCCTTACTTGAATCTCCCCCACTCATGATCTCCACAGAATCCCTATCGAGTTCTAGATGTTCTTGTCATGGTTGCAATTGTGCCCACTTGTGGCACAGATATGAAGAGTGCGAGCCACTGAGGCAGGCTACCTGCTTTCAAAGCCCCATCTCCCACTTGCCAGCTGTGAAATCTTGGGCTTTTTCCCTGCCTCAATTTCCATATCTCTAGAATGGGGGTAATAACAATAACTGCCTCATAGAGTTGGCCTGAGGATCCAATAAGATCATCCATGAAAAGTCCCTGGACTAAGATTGGGCATTTGGTCACTGTTACTGAATATCAACACTGTTATTCTCACTCCAGAGCCTCCCAGGCCTCTACAGAAAAAAAAAAAAAAAAAAGCTTGAGCCACACTCTTCTTGATGGGAAATGAGTGTTGGTGAGCATAATTCACTGTGGTCATATTTCCATTTATTACTTTCAGCATTAAAATGTTGTTTGAATGAAAATTGCATTTGCATTTATAAGAAGTTTGATAAACATCAGCATTTCCAACCTACCTGACTCACATCTAGGGCATAAGCTTTCTTTACCTGTGATATATGTACCTGTGACCTCTGCTCAGACCTGATGGCAGCAAGCCACCCAGCAGGAAATGAAGCTTTTCAACCTCAGACTTGGCAAACCTCAGGCTAGGCTGTGACTGCACGAGCTAGGCGAAAGAGGGGTCAAGGGTGGGCAGGGGGGGCACTCATTCAGCACCTTGAACTGTGTGCATTGCCTTGGTATGGGATCTCAGAGACTTACCTGGTATCCATTTACCTCTGTGTGGGGAGAAAAGAGTGCATACTAATTAGCCTGCTTGTAAAATATGGGACAAGTAGAGGCAAGTCTATCCTAGAACTGAATCTTATGTAAATAATTTTTCTGTCTTCTCAGACAGCTCAGCTCTCTCAAGCCAGCGGAGTAGTTTCCCGACTTCCTTTTGGACCAGCTCTTACCAGCCCCCATCTGCACCCTGCCTGGGGGGTGTTCATCCCGACTTCCAGGTCACTGCACCCCCCGGCACCTTTCCCACAGCTGACCCCAGCCCCTGGCCGGGACATGGGCTGCATCAGACTGGCCCGGCCCCTCCCCCTCCCACGTCCGAGTCCTGGCACTACCCTTTGGCATCTCAGGTGAGCCCATCCTACAGCCACATGCATGACGTGTACATGCGGCACCACCACCCCCATGCCCACGTGCACCACCGCCATCACCACCACCACCACCACCCTTCTGCTGGCTCCGCCCTGGATCCATCCTACGGGCCCCTGCTGATGCCGTCAGTGCGCACGGCCAGGATACCTGCGCCCCAGTGTGACGTCACAAAGACAGATCCGACTACAGTCACCACTGCTACCTCAGCGTGGGCCGGAGCCTTTCATGGAACCGTGGACTTAGTGCCAAGTGTGGGGTTTGAAACAGGTGAGCTGGGAAGTTTCCTCCTTTCCGTAAAAAGAAGGCACAGTAAAGACATACATACAAAAATGCGGAGGATGTTTTTAAGTACTTCGAGATATTTGTTCTCTTCTATGTAAAACTAAGCGTTGACCATACGTTTATAGAACTAAGCCCTTTGCAGTAATTCCGGCGCTGCTGCAGAAAATGGGTGACTAGCTTGAGGGAGGTGTCAGAACTTTCCTCCCATTTCTGAAACTAGTAGTCTCTCCCTTTGAATGGGGATCTCTACTACCTCATGTTTACAAAGACTTGAACCCATTCTTTAAATCTCCCCTGGCCCTGGGCTCTATACCACGTATAACGCCGAATAGAATTCAGAAGTAGTGTGCTTCGGTAATTTTACCTTCTCTCCTTTTGTCAGGTCTTACTTAGGATTTATAAAACTACTTTCTGCAGTATAACCCATGGAATATAATCATGGTCTTTTGAAAAGAATTAGGGAACATATTGTAAAGGAATAGATTTCCCTTGTCTTCCCTTCCTTTACCTTCTCCCCCTCCCTCTCTGTTTTAAACAGCACGAGACTTAAAAGACTACCATAAAGTTTGTATTCAACAGATTTCGATAAAATTGGTAGGGTAAATGTTTCTTCACCGAGCATTCAGCTCCTCTCTGGAATTCACTAGTTCTGAAGGTCATGGTGTTAAATGTTTGATCTTGGTGTTTAGATCAGACTACTCATATTAATAGTACTAATGGTCTGAGTTCACAAAAATCAGAGGCATCAGAGTCTCAAATACAAATCAAGTCATTGATTACATCCCCAGAGTTTACATGCCAAAGTCACCCACCTCCACCTCCAATCCCAGGTTCTTTTCCTGGAATACTTTGTGACATATTAGGATTTTCTTCCCAGAAGTTTAAAGAAGCTCATTCTTTTCTTGGTTTTCTAGTTTTCCTTAGTTTTATTCTTAGTGTGCACGGTCTTTCACCTGAATGCTGGTTCACAGCAGACGACTCCCCAGAGTAATCATTAGTTGCATTCACCCTGACATACGTGAACATTCTTACTTTGGTTAATTGGTTCTCCGCTGAGCTTCCCAGTGTTGCTTGTTGTTTAAACTCACCCGTTGCAGCATCTTGTGAAGTCCCTGGCTTTAAGCTGCTTTTCTAAAACTATCGGGGTACTTGATTCTCTCTCTCTACGAGAAGAGAACATGATGGGGCTAATCACCACACACTTCCTTTCTTTGCCACGTACTACGCAGGATGAAGGCAGTTCTTACGTGGTTTGATGACTGGGGCCGGATGGGATTAGAGTCCCAGTTTGGTACCTGCCATCACAGGTGGCCAATCTCTGGAAGCTCTTCCCTATCTCACTTCTGGGGTACCTGTGTGGCCAGAGCTAACAGCGCTCTTAGCAGGTTTAGGAAATATTCTCTCCTTTCTTAGTCAGTCCGGGCTGCTATAACAGAATACCATACCCTGGGTGGCTTAAATGACACACATTTAGTTCTCACAGTGCTGGAGGCTGGAAAGTCCGAGAGCAAGGTGCCGACACATTCAGGGTCTGGTGAGGGCCAACTTGCTGCTTCATGGACACTGTCTTCTCAGTGTGTCCTCAGCTGGTGGAAGAGACAAGGGAATTCTCTGGGCTCTCTTTTATAGGGGCACTAATCCCACTAAAGAAGGCTCTGCTTTCATGACCTAATCCTTCCCTAAGCACGTCCTGCCTCCTCATCCCATCACTTTGGGGGTTAGCATTTAACATATGAACTTTGGGAGGGTCACAGACGTTCAGTCTATATACTGTGCTTTCCATAATGTAAAGGGGAAAAGGGACATGACTGCCTGTTGCTCTCTGTTTCTACTTCTCTGTCATCTGCTACCTATTTTTGCACTCCTTATTTTTGGTGGGAGCTTTATTCAGCTACTCATAGTTCGGAATTTTGACTTGAAATAATCTCTTCAGGATGAAAAGGCATCCTGCTTTTTGGAAGTGGAGGAGAGAGGATTTTTGTTCTTTTTGGAAAACCTGCAGTGGACCCATGTGGGTCTAATATAAGTAGTTCTTAATACTCACTGAGCTGTGAATTAACATTTATTGAGTACCTACATATCAGGTATCGCCAGAGGCACTTTATGTATATTATCGCTTTTGATTCTTAAACTTAATCTGCGTTGGATGTACCTAGATTCATTAACAATAAGGAAACAAAGCTCAGTTTTCCTATTTGAAAACTACTTCTTAAATCTAAAATGCCCAAGTTGGATTTGAACTAAAACCTACCCCAAATCTCAGAAGTTGCTGGGGTACCATCTCCCTGTAAATATAGGTAAATTTGACTATTAAGCCTATCAAATTAGACTGTTCATAATAAGGAATGAAGGTTTACCTATTGGAAATACATAGTGCTAACCTAAAACACTCATCTCTAACTCTTCCCAGAGAAAGAGAGATGTGATATTTGATAGGACTTCTGAGTTTAGGAGAAGAAAAGGAATACATATGGCTCAGCCCCTCCCCCAGTCTCTCTTTTGGGCCAGCACCCATGCAGAGAGGCGCACTTTGTCAGTGTGGTTTAGGATGATGATAGATTCACCTCTGTCCCGTAGTTTTTTTTTTTTTTAAAGATTTTATTTATTTATTTGAGAGAGAGAGAATGAGAGAGAGCACATGAGAGGGGGGAGGGTCAGAGGCAGAAGCAGGCTCCCT